TAAAGGAAGGAACAAATAGGAAATGACTTCGACATTTAACATCACAAGGTTTGAAATATCGTTAAATCCAATAACCTGACCTCTCCATTTATATCATTCTTATTCTAAGCTTGTGAAAAATGTGTCCCTTTCACTCCCAATCAATAGTTATATTAGATGAGCATTTCGACTTGGTGTAATGGTTAGCAAGCTTATACCTCTAGATCAATTAAATAGTGGATTCGATCCTCAGTGGTTGTTTTATACTTTCGGCCTTGTGTCGCATCTAAGTCGCGCTTAGAAAGTCATTTTGGGCATTCGGCGTGGTGTAATGGTTAGTAAGCTTTTCTAGGTAAATCAATTCCGACTGAATAGTGAGTTCGATCCTCACTGGGTGCCCAATATGCATATTGTGTTGGAGTAAAAGTTCGTTGCGTTTTTCTATAAGTGACATTTTGAACACGTGATTTCGCTATATTTATAGCACATATATATACATATATATATATATATGTGTGTGTGTGTGTGTGTATTACAATGAATCATTCATGCAAAAAGTAGATCAGTAAAATTAATGATATAAAATGGCGAAAACCTTTCGCAAACAAAATTTTAAAGTTGCATTAACCTACGAACAACTCGATGAATGTTATGATCCTTGTTTATAATAACTACAAGTTGTATAAGGTCTTCTTTTTTTTACTAAAAACAAAATAATTTCCCTGCGTGAGGATGACTGAATGTACAGTTGAAAGTACTTGCAGATTAAAAAAAAAGACCTTATTCATCGAGTGGTTCTAAAAAATTTGTTTGCGAAAGGTTTTCGCCATTTTATATCATTAACTTCATTAATCTACTACTTTTTTGTATGAATGATTCATTGTAATAAAAATTGAACTGCACCACATATTTGATATATATATATATATATATATATATATATATATATATATATATATATATTCTGATTCTCAATTCGTCTTTCGATACGATTTGTGTGTGGATTATGAATGTTAAGTGTCTTTACTTTAAAATTGAAAACTGTTAAAATGTTCGTCATTTGATGCTCTTTTATTTCGGTCCAGAAATGTTTGTAAATGGTTCACGGTTCAGAAGTTTGAATTTGGATCTGGAAGACCACGAACCTTCCGCCAGGCCTGCAACCGTTGATGATGAAACATCGATTAAAAATAATTCAGGTAACACGACACGGGACATCTCAGATATATTCCACGTATTTCATTGTAAGGCATTTGAAAAACACTCTGATACGTGAATCGATGCAATATTTGCGCGCCTCACAACTTAACGGAAAAAAAGTTCATGTTCTGTTTAATCGCAACGAAACGAGCTATTTTTTTTTTAAAAAAAAAAAAAAGAATGAACGACAACAGTAGGTGTTGCTGTTTGCAACAATGTTATGGAGAAAATTAAAGGAACAACCGCGAATCACTCCAAAAGCCGGCCTACATCCTAAGAATGTGATGCTGTCTATTTGGTAGGATTTGCTATATTACGATTTCCTTCCGCTGAATCGGATGTTGAATTCAAAATATTATTCCCAACTGGAATTTATATATATATATATATATATATATATATATATATATATATATATATATATATTAGTTAAATGGATATGAGTTTGTGACCTTCGGTTTCACGCTCATGTGATCCTCAGACAAACTGATTTATTTTTTAAAATTTGAGACTAGGGATCTCCTCTGTGTTCCTTTTGGAATGATATTCATACGTACGGAGACATACGCATATACAGGTGTCGCCATTGTGGTTCGCACAAAAAAGTCGACATTGAGGTCAACACTCAGTGGCGACAATTTGTTTCATGCTTAATCGCAATCTTCTGGCCATGTGCGTTGTCATTTGGCTCGACTGTTTATATATGCTGGTCAATGGTGCATTATCGGTTGGTCTATTGTGTTCTTATAACAGTTATTGGGTGGGAGGTAACGGTTGTGTTTCAAATTATTCTACATTCTACTGAGTCGAAATCACTGTATAAGCGAATGCATCATCTGGTTCAACCCACCGTGCAGCAAAAACGTAAAGACAAAAGTAGGAAAAATATTTATTAAACTCATACACAAGCACCCCCACCAACACGCACTATCAATGATATATTCAACAAAAACACAGTAAAAATCAGCGACAGTTGCACTGAAAACATGAGAGAAATAATTAAAAAAAGCGCAACAGGAAAACAACCAAACACCAATCAAACCCACATGTAACTGTAGAGTAAAGAACGAATTCCCTTAAACAGCAATTACTTGTAGAATAATGTAATATACCAACCCATTATAAAATCAGCAGGTATCGAAGGAAAAATATACATAGGAGTAACTCAAGGAACCGGGAAACTAGGAAAATACACACAAAAATATCCTTTACAAGTAATAAATACGCGAACAGTTCTTTTTAAATATATATGAGAAATTAAAAATAAAAACCAAATCGTATCTAAAATATCATGGAAAATAAGGAAAACAGGATCAGCCGACAACGACGAGTCCAAAAACTGTAAACTCTGTCTGGAGGATAAATTAACTATAATTACTTCCCAGGCCAACACAAATTACTAAATAAACGATCAGAACTCCTCTCAAAATGCAGAAACGAAAACAAATTTTTACTACGTTACTCAAAAATCAAAAACTAAAAAGGAACGAAAGAAATAAAATAGATATGATAAAATAAAAATGAATTAAGTGAATAAAAACATAAAATTAATAAGCAAAATAATATAATTCAATTCAATAAATAAGTAAAAATTTAAATAAAATAAAATAAATATGATAAAATAAATAAATAAATAAAATAAAAATAAATTAATAAAATAAATAATAAAAATTAAATTAATAAGCAAAATAATATAATTTAATTCAATAAATAAGTAAAAATTTAAATAAATAATAAACAAGAAATTCCAAATACATAAACACAAATAAACATAATAACAATAATCAACAACAAATAATAAAATCATCAGTAATAGAGTGAAAAAGTTAACAAATATCACGCTAAAATAACCGCAAAACTGCATTCGAACCCCAAATTATTTCTACTCAATAGCCCCTAGAATAATTCGTTACCTCCCACCCAATAACTGTTGGAATAATAATTGTTCTCTGTTCGGCTGAATAACTGCGGCTGCGCGACTTAACTGGAGTATACTAAGAGCAGGAGTCTGCGTGCGTATGTGTCCAGGCGTGTTTCAAGGTTGATGGTATGAATGCAGTAAATTTTGAGAGATCTGCATCATTGTTTATTGGAAATTATATCTGTAAAATTCAGGGGCTAATGGGATGCAGTCAATTGAGTGCTCGTGAAACCAATTTCGTGTCACTGAATGTTATACCGAAACATACCTATTCTATTGTTAATATACTCTCCCACAGATAATAAGTAGTAGTAGTAGTAGCAGTCGCCAGGGAGCTCAGTGAGTTAAGTGAGTCAGTCGATGTCGGACATTGAAATATCAACCACCACAACTAGATTGCTGCGTCATTAGCTATTATTTTCAAGTTCCTAACGTTTTGTACGTCGAACCTAATTTAGGACCGACTTAGTGAAATACAAGCCTCCACTGTGAAAACTACTGAAATAAAAAAAATCAGCAACATCGCGAACATAAAGAGATGAAAATGGTCAGCATGTGTATTACACATGTAATGACAAACTCTAGCTTCATCGCGATCCATCAGAAACTCCAAACTCCGAACTCCATCAGAACCCACTCCACGTATAACTATAACCCTGGTGGTCAACTGGCTCCATAACCTTATATTGTCTCCTTTGCATACAAACTCAACTGTCCGTTCGATTGAGCTGAAAAACGCATCGGACCAAGTGATAAGGCGCTAATCTTCCATACCACCAATATTCCTTGGTCCAGTTGAGGCACAACGCCAATACCATTGTGTCTGCAATGATACGCTTGTTCGACAGCAATAAAATCCTATAAAACAGTGCATTGAATATTGGGTTGAGCCGAATAGGATCTAACATGGTGTTCCCCTTTGTTGGGCGGTTAGTGTCATGTAAGTAAAGACCTTCTATTACAAATATTTATTCAGCTCAAAATATGCATACATTTTGCTAGGCTTCATAACCAATATAATGTCTATTTTATTTGGAAGAGTGTGAATTCAAGGACCATAACTGCTGTTATAACGAAATAAAAAATTGAAGATCATATATTGTTATTTATACCTTTATTGTTTTGGTAATACGGACACGTAACCAGCAGATGGGAGAGGTTTGCATAAAGCCGTGTTTTGCACGTATGTTTATGTGTCCGCCATTGTTGTAGACCAAGCTCGCCGATCAAGGCCAACAACTCCGTACGGTTACATCCCTTAGTTGGCTCCGCCATAGCAGATTCCCAGCTACTTATATTTAAATATAGAAAGTTCAGCAAACTTGGACCTTCGTGGCCATAAAAAATGTCAAAAGGACAGTTTTTTCATTGACACCGCTATTACCTTAACTAATTCCACTCCTTGGCAATGTTTATTGTTTTAAAAATCGATGATTAGAATTAATTTGTCACTTCATATTTTGGCGGGAAAAGTCTACCGAAAGTGTGCTCTCCGACAGGGTCTGAAGTTACTTCCTCCTTTCTAGAAGAAACCACCGTTTATCCGGTGTGCTTTAGACCGCCTGGCCACAGATCAAAATTCAAGGGAAATAACTCTTACCAGACGTGAGAGCAATATTCAATGTGTGGAAGAATGATAGACTAATAAATACTTATATGAAACATGAATGCAGTGTGCATCGAACAATTTTTAATTTCGCTCCGTTTCGCATTCTCCCTACAACATCTGCAATTCACACACACACACACACACACACACACACACACACACACATATATATATATATATATATATATATATATATATATATATATATATATATAAATATATTTAAGTAGCAATTATTCATTTAAACAAGTTTGATTAAAAAACCGAAAAAGTCTGTCTGTTTCAAGGTTTTACGGCCATATTTCGTTGAAATACTTGTTCTCGTACGATCACGTAAGTTAAGCAGCGTCGAGTTTGGTCAATACTTAAATGGGTGACCGCTTGGGAATACCAGCTTGGAGGTGCGGGTGGTGTACTGCTGCTGCTGACTGCTACTGATGCGGCATTCACCCTGGGCGGATTGAGCCGGCTTCTTCCTGTTATGAGAAGAAGATTCTTGGGATAAATTACAGAAGTAGGGTACCCAGGCCTACCGAGGTGCGGGTGGTGTAAAGGATAATAACTCGGAATTGTAAATCGGAGAGTCAAGTTCCAATTCCAGTCGGGTTCGTTATATTCATTTACGTGAAAATATGCTTGCGAATGGTATTACTCCACCTCTGATCCCTCCAGCTATGGTTTAAATAGTAGGACCCTTATCAGTAAATTGTTATCATCTCAACAAACTCTTACAATCTAAAAATATTTTCTGGCTTTAAATAACCTGCAAAAAGTTGATAAGCCGTAAAAAACGAGAGCAATATATATATATATATATATATATATGGCAATTTGGAAATCATTTATGCTGATGTTTCGCCGATCAAACAGCGTTATCACAATTTTTCTGATGACGTTATATAATCGGTTGAACATATCAACATAAAAGTTTTTTCTAATTATCATATATTTACTATTCCGTAGGATTCTCATCAAAATTTATATCATATATATATATATATATAGTTAAACCTAGAGAGCCAGACAAACCTACCGAGGTTTCACCTTAGCGGATCGTCAGGAAAGCCAGCCTTCCCTGACGATCCGCTTAAAAACCTAACTCTCTAGGTTTAACTAGGTCTGCTCTACTCATTGTATTGAGCACTTTATTTAGTTATTCTGCGTACTCGCATCCGGGTTTTTTTCTTTGGGCCTTGAACTCGTATGCTGGACGATTATTTTCGGTTAACGTACATGTCCTTGGTTCTTTCTTTTTTCATACCTTTTTTTCCCCTTTGGTATTGGCTTGTTTATTTGCAAATCAAGCGAGTATAGTTTCTTATACTTATAAGATTTCTATTAATAATATATATATATATATATATATATATATATATATATATATATATATATATATATATAAAGAGAGGAGAGGGGGAGAGAAAAGAAACAGCACTGCATGGAAACTGTCAGTTTCATTGCTCACTTCTCGCTTTCTGAACACACCAATCTGTTAAGGCGTCTCGCCAATCCCTGTTGCAGACACCTGCTCAGTCATATCAGTGCTCGTTCAGCACCCAAAGAGCCCACCTGTGGTTTATATTTCAACTACGCCGCGCGAACCTCAGTTAGAGTTTCTGGGATCGAGCGCATAATCTGTTATGATCAGCAGTTTGTACAACGCCAGTACGTTCAAATACTCTGTCACGATGACTTGTGACATCGTGCTAGCACAACCATCAACGACTTCCCATCAATTCCATCTAGCAAATTTAACTCACAATTTTCACTTAAGTCAACCGACGTATGGTTCGCAGTCATTATCGAAAAGTGTTGCCCGCCTCCCTAGATCAATAACATTAAGAATTCACCTTCCAGACAAATCGGCTATTTGGAGCTGGGATGCCAGATCAGGATCGATAACATTGCAGATTCATCTTTGTAGTTTATCAATAATCTCTAAATATATAGAAGGAGCGCCAGAATATATGGCAGCAATATCCGAAGCATGGACGAATGGTAGACCTATAAATATGTAAGATAGATTCTGGGGAGAAAAAGTATGTAACACGACACAATGTACCAACTTTCCTAGCAGCAGACCTAGAAATTGATTCAATATAATCTTTCCACTTCATTTCAATAGAAAAAGTTACCCTGAGAAAGCACAATGAGTCATCTCTCTGGAGGTTAGAATCAGCCATACCGAGGGAAGGCAGAAAAGCATGATAAATAGAAAGCAGTTTCTTTTTGGAGGGGTTAAAATTAAGAAGCTATCCCTTGCATCAGTTAGCATCAGATTTTATGTCACTTTGACACCAGCTGCCATTTTAACCTTATCGAATCGATCACACGCATAAAACATTTTGAAATTATCTCAGATTCACACAAAGACTGAAAAAAAAAAGACAACGACCAAAGGTTTTTCAGTTTTTTTTTATAACTTTGTCTTAGGTAGGGCTAGTTTTTAACTGGATGACTCATGTACGTATCGCTTGTAAGATTAGGACAAAAATCGTAACTTTCTGACGGATAATTCGGATTTTCCTTTATTTCCAAATTCCATAAACGTAACGTACGGCAAATTTCAATGAATAAAGTTGAATTTGACAAATCGCTACAACCGGTCCCAAAAGCTGAGCTCCACAGAAGAAAGAAAATACTGTACGCGAGTTGAGATCTTTACCCAGCATCGTTTCCATTTTGGCAGCATTACTGGAACAACTTTTTGTGTGGATAGGAATGCCTCTTCGCATTATCTTGGATTTCATCGACGAATTTAAATCCTGTTTGTTTCATCAAGGGGCGAGATCTTGGGAATATGGCGGTTATGCCTGGCAAAAAACTAATGTACAAGCCATGGTCACTGATGGAACCTGTGGTGCGGTAAGATGACCACACTCTACACACTTTCC